CCTGGGATATACCTCAGAAAACCAGTATTTTTCTATTGTCTTAATAATATACTTGATGAAAAACTGGCCAGTTTTGTAACTATTTTCAGTGCAAATTAATATCGCTCATCAGAAATCCTGTGCTATGTTTCATCAGTTATTTTGTTTCTTGAGGATTACTTTTCCTATGTAGCACTAAAACCAGCACTGATCCAACAAATCCTTATGGCTTAAATTGAGGTTGAATCTACTTTTCACAGCACAGGTAGTACCTTTCTTGTCCACGCAAGATCATGGTTGATTTTGTTGCCACAGTTGCCAAAAGGATCCAGAAGACGGGGTGTTGACTCACTTGCCCATTCTCCCAGCACAGAGCTTCCTCCTGTACTCTCCGAGGTCTTTGGGCTGATAAAATGCTTCATGACTTCAGAGAGGGCGGGGAGGGAAATCCATGTACCTAGAGCCGTTTCTGAGACTTGCTCCGTCCCCCGCGCCGCCGCAGAGCCGAGGGAAGCCCCTTCATCGGGAGGCCGCGATGGGAGTCGGCAAAGCATCGCGGGCCCCTGGGCCTCCTCCCAACACCCAAATTACACAGGCTGAGGATTCCCCCGCTCTGCGAAAGATTTCAGCTGCCACTTTGGGCGCTCCCCACAGTGGAGCAATATTCCAGCTTTTGGTTTTAATTTGTAAGGATATAAATGTTCCCACAATAAGCAAGTAAGCGCCTGAGCCAGCTAACAGCATTTTTCCCGCAGCTCTGAATTACATCCTCCTGCGGGGACGGCTGATACTGGTTGACCATATTTACATAAGCATCCCTGTGGAGATGTCTCCACCTTCAGGGTATCTTTCCCCACCCAGCTTTGGTACACCTCCCCTCCTCCGCGAGCAAGGCAGCCCTCACTTTCCAGCTCCCTTCTCATCCTTCGTATCTCCCAGGCATGATTTGCTCACAAAGAAAGCAGAAATACTCAACAGTGCTCAGTACTTCAAACAAAGACAAAAACACTCCGGGACCAAGTACACACAACTTCTATTCAAAAGAAGAAATAAATGCTGTTCATTTAAAAAAAAAAATACATCAATAGAACAGATGATTCCTAAAATGAAGGGTCTATTTTAAATATATACCCATAAAATATTCCCTGAAATACAGAAAGTTTCCATTTTCCCAACTGAAAACTTCAGGAAGGAATAAGGATCTTGTTACAATTGTAGCAGAGCTGTGCAGAACTATTGTTATTATTTCAATTAAACTTTGCTAAAAACTGTCTGTAAATGGTTAGCTGGGACATCAGGCATCTTAAAGTTTGCTTTCTGTCTTCATTTCAGGGACCTAAAAATTGAAAATTTTCTTCTTGATGAGAACAACAACATCAAAATCGTTGGTAGGTGCATGTTATCTGTGAAGCGTGTTTTCAGCTTTTTATTTTGTGTGGCTTTCAGTGACAGTTCAGTTACTATTTAAACAGCACATTTTATAAGTGAGCTTGCGATTATTCCATAAACATATTTGAGCTTTTAGAATAAATAAAAGTTATGAAGTATAACTTAACAGCTTGTTTATTTGAGCTTTAACTAAAACATATTTTTAAGAGAACAAGGAAAACAATTTTGCCTATTGTTTTCCCTCATGTATTGCTGGAGAAGCAAGAAACAATTACAGCTTTTATGTGTAGAAAGCTGTTCCTAGCAAGAGTGATTTGTAGACTAAGAAATAAATCTTCTGGGGTGAAACACAGGTATGGACACAACTTCTGCCGTGTCATTCCTCCAACTAGAAACCTCACAATTTGGTATACTAAAAAAAAAAAAAAAGAGAGACTGTTTTGGTCACTAACAGAAACTTTGCTAAGGTTGTGAAGCAAATATTTATAAAAATGAGGGAATTTGCACCAAGCAGTTAACACAGCTCAGAGAAACATTAATTTTATCCTATGGAAACCGCACAGAAAAATCCCCGCAAGGGAAGCTCACTTTTAGAGACGCCACATGTTTAACCCAGTGTTTCCCAAACTTTTAAAAGCTTAACACCTCTGAGAAAAAAGGCACCAACTCTTCACCCCTGTTTTATAGCCAGCCAGTCCTTTACAATCACACCTTTCTCTTCCCTCCCCCTTGCACACATGCACATATACAGAGAAAAAGGCTTAAGTTAGCACATTTTACCCCACGTTTACAGCAGGCTAAAGCACACCCAGCTGAGCTGAACGCTGTAGCTCATTAAGCCATGCTAATGCAGCTGTGTAGCTAAGCTCTTGTACTAGCACACAGCCAACTGAGGGAAACTAAAATAGCTAAACCAAAATCACCCAAATCAGGCGTACGGCTGGGTAACTTCACTGTTACCTCTGCTAATTCATGGCACATTTAATTGAACCCAAATTGGCATCCACAGCTGAGATGTCACCAGATGCTAAAGCCAGCTGCTGTTTTCATCTTCCTCCTATCTTCAACCAATTCATAAAGTTAAACTATTTTGAGAAGAGACTAAAAATTCCTCGCCTTTGTTTTTGTGACTGTTAGATTTCGGACTGAGCAATACTGCAAAGTTTGAGGGTCTCTCCCAGGAGCTGTTACATACCCAGTGTGGAAGCCCAGCTTATGCTGCCCCAGAACTCCTTGCTCATAGGAAATATGGTCCAAAGGTGGATGTCTGGTCCATGTAAGTAGATCTAAAAATATACTTATCGAAACACTCTCAGCATTGAATGGTTTAGACAAGACTCCGATGTATATAGGTTGGTGGCACCCAAAGCAGAGCTTTGGGGCATCAATGGGGAAAGCAGAGATTTATCAGAGAAGGGTTGCCAGAAAAAAAAAAAATATGGATTTGAAAAATATATCTTGAAATATGTATCCATTGCAGAACACTGGAAAAAAAATGAATGAGCAATGCATGTGCTATTCTGGAGTAAGCCTGTGGCAAGGGAAGTCAGCAGAAGGTAGGGTATCCAGCTCTAGGAGCCTGTTCTGAAAAGACAGAGAAAGTGCTTGTATGTACCAGCCCACTCAGATGAACCCCCCACCCTCCTGTCCTTCTGGCATACAGGTACAGCTGATACCAGCGTAACTTCTGTTAAAATCAGAAGTCCTGGAAGCCCTGGGTTGACAAAAGGGCATTTTCTGCCTGAGGCATGTTTTGCCAAAGGAAGACATCTAAACAGGAAAATTGAGTCTCAGGGACACACAGACCAAAGCATGTAGCATGTGGCTACAGCAGAGCTAGAAGTCCTTCATCCATACCTTGGCCAGGCCCTTTATATCAGACTATGATAAAAAAGTGGAGCTATTTACTTCAGAGGTGGCACAAACCTGAATGGACTCCATTTTCCTTGTTCATTATATCTGTAGGGTATGTCTCATAATAAAGAAGAATGCAGGAGGTGCTGTTGGAAGAGTAGTTTTTCACATAAATCATCTCAGACTTTTCAATTACATTTGCAGTTTGCAGTTCTAGCAGTCAAGTTTGTGGTTTTTTACTCTTTTGACAGCTGTTCTGGATGGAGCTGGGAAAAAGTATATTAAGTCCATGTTTGTGTCCATTGATCTTCACGGACCTGGATAGGAGAGTGGCTCTCCATGCCCATCTTTTGTCCAAAGGCAGTTCATGTTTATTGATATGGATCCGTTAGATCTGTTTTAGTTTAATCTACAAGATTGCTGGTAGTTACATATAGGCATCTGATTCAGGTGTCTGAAGTAGAAGCTTAGCATTCCTATATGCTCAAAAGAGAAAGAGGATTCGTATACACATAAATATATAATGCACATTATTCCGTTCAAGATCTGCTTCTGGCAGACGTACTATATATTAGGGTTCTGACTAACTATGATTCTTATGACTCAGTGTCCTCTAAATTTACAGGATATAAACAGTACACAAAGTTAGGGATGAAGGGGCAAATTGTACCAAATTACTTCAGTATAAGTCTGGATTTCAAGAGTGCTAGTCTGAATTATGTAGACATAAGACAGGCGAATCAGATCTAGAGGATGCTGTCAGCACTTAAATAGGATTATACTTATTCACGTTTCAGATGTCTGAAAGAAAGCAAAACCGTAACCTTAGAACATTTACTGAGATCACTCTGTTAATAAACATCACATAACAGGTCAAAGGCTATATAAAACTTACATATGGCCCTTGGTGTTTAACATAGACATATTCTGCATCTTAGGCATAAGATATATTTACAATTTAAATCTGAACTGTCCACATTATCATAGTGGAAAAGGGAATTCTGATTAATTAGATACTTCTATTGTCACAAAATAAGTAAAGCATCACAGATCAACTGGACTGCGGAATAAAAAGATTTTGCTGTAGTGGAGAAATACTGACATTATGCATCAGGACTGACAAGGAGTCATTACAAGGGGAATGAGAAAGCCATTTTCAGTCAGAAGCACATGCAGAAAACCAACCGTATTCAACTGCAATACAGCTAAGGCTCCTATGAAGCAAGAGCAAACAGCAATGCCTGTTTTGCCTCATCGTGACTTCTGTGCATAAGATTTTAAACATTCTTTGGAGGACTGGAAAGCAATTAGCTCTCATGCACCACCTGAATTGAGGAAACAGCTGCTATATTCAAACAAAAACAGATAGTTCGGTTGGCTAGAGGAGAAATAGTCTGTTACAACTAATAAAGATTCAAGTTTAACATACCATCAGATACCATCTACAATTAACTACTAAGTGTGTTACTGTTAACAACTCTATTCAATTAACCATTGACATTTAACATTCTGAGTGGTGCGGTCGACACGCCTGAGGGACAGAATGCCATCCAGAGGGTCCTGGACAAGCTCGAGGAATGAGCCCATGTGAACCTCATGAGGTTTAACAAGGCCAAGTGCAGGGTCCTGCACCTGGGGCAGGGCAACCCCCAGTACCAATACAGGCTGGGAGGTGAAGGGATTGAGAGCAGCCCTGCCCAGAAGGACTTGGGGGTACTGGTGGATGAAAAGCTGGACATGAGCCGACAACGTGCACTCACAGCCCAGAAGGCCAACCGTCTCCAGGGCTCCATCAAAAGCAGCGTGGCCAGCAGGTCGAGGGAGGTGATTCTGCCCCTCTGCTCCCCTCTGGTGAGACCCCACCTGGAGTCCTGCGTCCAGCTCTGGAGCCCTCAGCACAGGAAAGACATGGGCCAGTTGGAGCAGGTCCAGAGGCGGCCACCAAAATGCTCAGAGGGCTGGAACACCTCTCCTGTGAGGACAGGCTGAGAGAGTTGGGGTTGTTCAGCCTGGAGAAGAGAAGGCTCCAAGGAGACCTTATTGCAGCCTTCCAGTACTTAAAGAGGGCTCATAAGATAGATGGGGACAGAGTTTTTAGCAGGGTCTGTTGTGACAGGACAAGAGGTAGTGGTTTTAAACTGAAAGAGGGTATATTCAGACTAGATATAAAGAAGAAATTTTTCCTGATGAGGGTGGTGAAACACTGGCACAGGTTGCCCAGAGAGAGGTGGTAGATGCTCCATCCCTGGAAACACTCAAGGTCAGCAGGTTGGACGGGGCTCTGAGCAACCTGATCTAGTTGAAGATGTCCCTGCTCATTGCAGCGAGGTTGGACTAGATGACCTTTAAAGGTCCCTTTCAACCCAAAGATTCTATGATCATCTTCAGTAATGTATGAACCAGATCAGTTAAATTAGAATTGCCTGAATTCCTGAAAGGACTGTCTCGACTGAGTTCAATAGAGAAACGGCAAAGGATGGAGAAGTGCTGTTGTGGTGGCGCAGCTCAGCTGGAGCAAGGAAGTACCATGGAGAGTGTTCAAGGAAACCTCCGCGTTCGCAACCTCAGGACAGCTAAGGAAGTTTTCCGAACGTTGGTACTTCTCCAGACTGAATGGCAAACCTTCACAAAGTTTGCTGATCACAGCTAGCAGACTGTTAGTCTTTTGCAATAGCTGAAGTTTTAAGTCTTTAGCCAAGAGCAAGCTGTTACCAAACAAATGCCTTCTAGGCATAAGTCACACCTAATTTAGCAATCTGAGCAAAGCAAGAAGAACTGAATTACTATTTGGAACAGGATCTATCACATCAGTCCCAGCTCTGTGTTGTCACTCAGCCTCCAAACCAAAATGCTTTATTCTGATGGGCTGGGTACACTACACTGACACTCCAATAAGTTTATTTTAAAAATAAACAGCAGGTTTCCACTTTCAACACTGCAGGCTTTCCAGTCACTCACTGTACAGTCTTTTATACGCACTTCCCACAACATTCTTTTCTGTATAAATGGCATTTACACAAAGAAAAAAGGGGTTAGATGTGTATTCAGTCCAAATTGCTGCTTGGAGGTGATTTGTAATCTTGTTCTTGATACTGAAGGCAAATGTCTGAAACCTGGCTCATAGCTTTCTGGGTTTAAAAAAAAAAAATTGTTAGCATTATATGGAGCTCTGATGTTTGGTTTTTTCTTTGACAGAGGTGTAAGCATGTTTGCTATGCTAACTGGCACATTACCCTTCACGGTGGAACCTTTTAATATCAAGCAACTACATCAAAAGATGTTAATTGGAGAAATCAGCCCTATTCCTCCAGATATCTCCCCTGGTAAAGCACTCAAATTTTCATAAAGAATACTGATGTATAAAAGGTCTAACCCGTGTAATAAAGTGAATTTAGCAATAAGGCAATCTTCTGGAAAATAAGCAGTACCTTTTCCAGTTTCTTTGTCTGTGTTTAGAAATAACTTTTGTGTGCCTTAGGCAAGATTTCTTTATCTCAGGCTAGTAGCAAAATAACATTGTTGTCTCTTCAAAAGAACTACTCTTGGTTCTTATCTATATGGGGAACAAAATGTGCATTGCTTTTACATAAGCAGCGCAGCTGTGCAGTAAATGAGAACACCGTCATGTTTAGCATGTCCCATGCTGTGTGTCATAGCCAGGCGTTCTTTCCTGTTTTTCCCAAAAATCCATTATCAAAACCTTAGATAATTTTTCCTGAAAGGCTTATCTTTTGGCTACAGACAGAACCCACAATATTGAGATAATTAAAGAAATGGGAGGGTTATTTTTGTGAAGAGTCTGTTCATACTTTTCATGAGAAAATACAACATTTTTCACTGAATTTTACTAACAACCTTTAATGAGGTACAGTCTATGGAGTCTTTTAGGATAACTGGGAAAGATAGTTCTCAAAAGCTCCAGCCTGAATTACAGCCCACGGCTTCAAAACCCAGAAGTCATGTTGGTGTATATACACTCTGGGTTAGCAGCCCAAAATTTACTTCCTCAAAGCTCAAAATTCTGCTGCTTTACAATGATTCTTATACAGCTCTGGCTTTAGTCCCTATTTTCTCTCCACCTAGACTGGCACAATCGCTGTCGAACATCACAGGCTTGGGCCCCTTCTCACTGCTGTCATCATGCAGCTTCACTAACCAGGTCAGAAAGCAGAGCAGAATGAGATGTGTTTTGCCCAACTATCTACCAGCATGAGTTCGTATCTCCCCATCGTTTTGAGTAGCTTTGCTCTGACATTAGGCAAGAATGAGCCTAGGAACCAAGATTAACTTCAGCCGCTGCCTGCAGCCAAGCGCTGGGAAGCAGCAGACTGTTCCAGACTAAGCTAGCTGGATCTAGTCCGGAGTTACAGTATTAAGATGATGTGATGATTCAATTTCTTTTTTTCTCCCCCAGTAAATGGTATGAGGATATCTACCATAGCTGTCCCTAATGTTTGTACATTAGTCTTTCATTTATCTTTCTTTGGAGATTGGTTACCAGATAGCAGCTCCATTTTTCTACAAGCCTTCCATAGCTGCAATTATTATATTTCTATTTTTTCTTATTTATGCTATTGTTATAGCTTCTACTAATAAATGCATTATCTCTGCTTTTCTACAAAGCCCACACAGTCAGTGGAAGATTGCGGATAACTCCATTGTTCCCTTGCCCATTGGGAATTTGGTGAGAGAGCAGTAGTAAACAAGCTTTGCATACTTTAGATCTAAGTTCTTCTGAAGGAGATTACAAGTGAAAGGAGCAGTATGTTCCCAGTTTAATGCTCACTTGCCATTTTGCTCATTTCAAAACATCCCCAAGGAGTATGGAAGAATTCAGTAGAGTTTTCCCAAGAAGAAAAAAAAAAGAGGGACCTTATGCAGCCTTGGAGCTGAGTGGCAGACATATGGGAATGTTTGAGTTTTCTCTGTCCCAACTCCAGGAAGCCAAAGCACAACATGTCATATGAGCACATGGGCACATCTCCCTCCCTCGATACAGAGGGTTTTATCAATGAGATTATCTTCTTTGTGTGAGAAACGTAACTCTTGGGCAGTCAGCTGGCACAGGAGAAGACCCCCTTCTCAGACCCTTGATCAAATGCTGAGTGAGTTGGTATTGATGCCATAGGCTGCATTCACTGGGGTAAATCAAGCAAATCAGGAAGCAAGGTCCAATGCTGTATCTATAGCAGCATTCATAGGTCCATAGCATGCCTCCTGGCACGGTTTGGCCCGTGCTGCCCACCCTGTTCAGGTATCCTTGGGAGAACAGGGTCACCACATGGGACCACAGCAGTCTCGGAGAGCTGGAGCTGTTTTATTCGGTAGTTCAGAGGTAGCCTGACAGGCTGGATTTTAGCTGAGGTTCTTACAATGTGGAGAAGAGGGGAAGTGCCACATTTCTGAAAAAGGAAAATTTTGCACTGCCCAAATAATGATATTACTAGTAAACAAGCCGTCTCATCTGAATACTGCACAGGAGCTGTACACTTCCTGCAGTCCTTACTTGAGCCTGACCCTGCTAAGAGGCCTGGAGTCAAAGAAGCAATAAAAGACAAATGGTTGAACGAAGGCTTCACCAGGAAAATACTGAACGCTGCTGCCTATGAAAACAGGTAACAAATTTCACGTCATCTCTCTTCTAGCTTGGGTTTCACGATTCAGGGTTTGCGGGGGGGAAGTGCTGGGGTTTTTAGGAACTTTTTTGTTTTGTTTGTTTTGGAAGATTTTTGTTACATGCTCAGGTCTGTTCCAAAATGAGAGAATTTTATTTCAGAAAACACCACATCAACTTTTCTAAGCATGGATAAATTTTATGTAAGAGAAAACTTCCTTATAGAACTGCTTATATCCATTGGATCAATAATTTTGTTCTCAATGTGCCTCTCTGGTGCCGCTAATTTCTAGAGAGTGGGCTTCTAACCCTTTCCTGCAAAACTAGGTCTGACATGCCCACCTGAGGGAACATTTCTATATTACACAGAAGTTCTTGTTATTCTAGTAACTTTTATTCTCATCCATCTTTGTAACTGGCCTTTAACTAGTCTCCATTTTTTCTTAGCAAGCCACTTTACGGTTTAAGATTATTAAAAAATTTTGAAATAGGTACGTGCAATATGACACTTCACACAAACGTTGCCATCTCTCAAGGCGTTATTCATCTTTCATATTGGGAGGCTGCAAAGTATACTTTGCATGTCTTTACCTAATTTCAGTGATGGACCTTTTACATCTTTCTCACAGCTGAAAGTAGCTAGATAGTAGGTAGCCATGGGTCAAATATTTTATGCTCAAATCATTCTGTAAAAGTAAATAGTTTACACCAATTGAAAAAGAGAGTAATTTGGCCTGTGTTGTCTGCACCGTCTGCACCGGTGCCTACAGGATGCACGGCAGGTTTTCCTACCACAATCCACCGCCTGTCACAGCCAGGGCTATTAGAAATCTATGTGCAATTTGTTCATTTCTCTGAGAATTGCCCACCCTACCTACCTTTGCCCTCCTTCCCTGCCCGCAGGTGTTTCTGTGCCCATTCATACTGAAGCTTTAAGAGTTTGAAAAAATGTTTTAGGAGTCTCAAAAGCCAAGGCTGTTGCATTTCAAAAATGTCTTTACTAGACTTTAGTACTCACAGGAGCCTGTGAGTAAAATAATTATCATTATAACTTAACCAGTTTTATTTCACAATCTGATTTTCATAAAAATAAAAATCCCCTTGTATTTTCTGTAGTTCTTCTTTTGTCCTTTGAGATTTTCCTGCCTTTGGGGCTCTTCCTGTCTTCTTTCGCACATGCACACACTATCTCTCTGTTAATCCATTTGAGACTACTGTACTGAGAACTAAAATATACACACTAGATTAAAATGAGAAAATGCTGGTTTCCATCTTTTAATTTTTCAAGCTTAAGCCTGGTGGGTGTCCTTTCAGAGTAATCAATTATATCAACAATAAGATATTTAATAATGCAGCAACAGAGCCTCAGCCCAGCAGTCAAGATAGCAGAGCCAGACAGAGGATTTTTGCACAACTGTGTATCATAATTTGCCTGAAAAATTGGCTTAGCCTAGTCCAGCTACATCACAAAGGTGTGTTGGCCACTTACTGTAAATTCTGACATTGTACCTGAATGCATCATTTGTATTTAAATACTTTTTCCTAATATTTCAGACTTTGCTCCAGTGAATTGAATCCTGTTGTTTTGAACTACATGACAGAAATGATGGACTTCAGTCTTTCAGAAGTTATCAACATTTTAATAAATAACAGACCCTCTCGTGCAATGGCTTCTTATTGCTTATTGCTGAAGAAACTGCTCAGGTATCAGAAAGACCGCAAAAGAGCCCAGGTAAGATATCATGATCATGACAAGCATGAAGTACTCCTTGGATTCTTATGAGTAACATCGCGACAGCCACACAGCACATGTGAAAAAGGTGGTTGTCCATGGAAGGGAACTCATGAAAAACAGTAGTGAAATTGCAGATCTGGGTGCAGTCTCAGGACACCTATGTTCTGGCATTCTCAGAGGTGATTTTCAGGAGATGTTTTTTCCCAGAGATAAATATGCCTTTTTTTACTGACTAATGCGTTATAACAAAGGGCTGCCGGTTGTAATGGGATTGAGAATTATTTTGCTTTACATAAAAGATTACTTTTCCATTGGGAACAGGAGCATTAGCATCTCTGTGACCTCACCATCCCTTCCCTTTCCGACTGGTCCATGAGGGCCTGATCCAAAGTCTGGGGAGGTGAGTGGGAAGCTGTGAAAGTTGTAAAATCTTTTCCCAGCATCTTTTTTTGTATTTTTACCACTGTATCTTATGCTCACACTCCAGCTCCGACTCACTTGGGGACATGAAGTTAAATCAGAAGGAACAAAAATTTTAAAAATAAATTCAGAAAATCACTGGTAAGGCCACAAGTAGTTAAAAACGCTGTAAGCTTTTCTTTTACAACCGTCTCCACTAAGGGGTTCACAGCTCAGTCATAAAAATTTTGCTTCAGGCAGAAACTAGGCAGACAGGAAGCCAAATTCCAGCTTCTAACACACAAGTGCAATGGGAAAAGTCTCAGCTACAAAACAACACACATCAGCGATTAGTCTCCCATTCAAAGTCTTTGCCCTGGAGAAGCTGTATTTTGAGAAGGTCCAGTTGACTCCTCTAGAAATTATTCAGATGGGCTTGAGTAGATCCAGATCTCCATCCCAGCACACAGCCCCAAGGTTGCAACAGCCTGTGCAGTGTTTACAGGCAGAGCCATAACTCAAAAATATGAGTTGGGGAGCATGTGTGTGCATGCTTAGGGGGAGGAGGCTTTCCTTCACATATGTGATTTTTTTCATATTATAATTTTGCATTGGATCTGCTAAACCGTAAGTCACTCAAAAAGAGTCGTATTGTGAAGGCTATTGACCAGCTTTCTTGAATCTCTGGACATCAAGCTGATTTACAGCCCCTAGAGATCTAGACTTCCAGGCAAGTGGTAGCGTTTCACGTCCCCTGTGACCTCTTTCAGCATCCTACCTGGGTGGAAGAGGGAAGCGATTGTGTGCACAAAGTAAGTTACAAGCTGACTAAGGGGCTGCGCTGCTTCCTGCCACTCCTGGCATCAAAAATGCCCTCTTAAGGTGGAGAGTCAAGCTCAGTTCAAGCACAGACCCAAAAAATGTCTCAGAGTGTTAAGGTAATAACACTATAAATCATTGTTTTGAAGTCAGTCCTAGTGTATATATATATTTCCCAGGCATGCTGGAGGGTTTTGGTACAGCAAGGACAAAAAGAGGGGAAGTGTAACAAAGGAATGACTGACATTTTCTTTCTCTGTGTTGACATTTTTGCAGTCAAAGGTTTAAAACCAAACTGGTACTGACACAAAATAGCCACCTATCAGCTCAAAACAGTGGCGACTTTCACAGAATCACAGACTGACTGAGGTTGGCAGGGACTTCTGGAGGTCATCTGATCCAACCCTCTTGCTCAATCAGGGCCACCTAGAGATGGCTGCCCGGGACCATGCCCAAATGGCTTTTGAATACCTTCAAGGATGGAGAGCCCACAGCTTCCCTGGGCAACCTGTGCCAGCGCTTGGTCATCCTCACAGTGAAAAAGTGCTTCCTGATGTTCAGAGGGAACCTCCCCTGTTTCAGTTTGTGCCCAGCACCTCTAGCCCTGTCGCTGGACACCACTGGAGAGAGCCTGGCTCTGTCCTTTTTGCACCCTCTCTTCAGGTATTTGTATATATTGATGAGATCCCCCTGAGCCTTCTCTTCTCCAGGCTGAACAGTTCCACCTCTCTCAGCTTTTCCGCATAGGAGAGATGCTCCAGTCCCTTCATCATCTTCATGTCCCTTCACTGGACTCTCTCCAGTATGTCCATGTCTTTCTTGGACTGAGGGGCTCAGACCTGGACACAGCACTCCAGGTGTGGCCTCACCAGTGCTGAGTAGAGAGGCATCACCCCACTCGACCTGCTGGCAACACTCCTCCTAATGCAGCCCAGGACACCACCATTCCCCTTCTTTGCAGCAAAGGGCACGCAGCTGGCTCATGATCATCTTGGTGTCCACCAGGACCCCCAAGTCCTTTTCTGCCAAGCATGAGCTGGTTCCTCCCCAGGTGCAGGACTTTGCACTTCCCCTTGCTGAACCTAGCAGGGACATGTCTAGCATGTGAACTGGGTACACACTCTGGGGTCTGCTCAGTTGTGTCATATCACAACTCCCCATTTCTACACCTTCCCTACACCCTTTCCCATGTAGCTCCCAGGTGTGCGGCTCTTCCTTCTGCAACACAAAACAATGCTGATCTGCAAATCTTCACGTGTTCAGTGTGGGGACTTCTTAAATTTGCATTTAGGCAGACAGAATCTCTCTTTGACAGCTTTGCAGGGAAATTTCTCGCTTTTAGGCGGACAGCTTTGCTGAGCACCTGAAATACAGGCACAAGCTAGATGCCTAAATTTGGCAGATTGGATTCTATCATAAATAATACCTTTTAAAATCTGTTACTAAGACATAGAAGTTTGGAAGTTAGAAAAGACCAATTCATCCCATCTTTCCCTGTCGTTAAAAGTTTATTTCCTCTTGTTTGTTAGCACAGGGTTTGTAAATACTACCTTTAAACCTACAAACTCAAAGCCTGCTACTAGTACCATTTAGAGATTATTCTGTTACCAAAGACTATAAACTACCAAAGTTTATAAAACTCATAATTTTTTTTCCCATAGTCACTCTACACCATTTGTTTCTTAATTTTGTCCATCCACTGCCTCTTACATTCTTCTGCATTACGAAAATTAATACTTCTCCCTCGCTAGTAGTTAGGCTCTGCAAATTTTTTTAGTTAATAATGATCACCTCTCGGTTGGTTCTTATTCAAGCCTTACAAACAATTAACCTGTGCAATCACTCCTCCCCAGGAGCTCTTTTAAATCGTGACTATCAGTGCTACCCCCTTACGTTGGTTTCCCCAATGTTCAAGCATATTCCTATTGCCCAGAAAGGCCAGGGTTTGGGCAAAAAAGAGAGGCGAGCGAGGGGAAAGCTGGCCAAGAAATCAAGTTGGGCATTCTTACTCAGTTATTTTTCCAGTATCCTCTGGCCTGTTCTTCAGCAAAAGCTACTTTATGCATATGCTTACACAATGGCAAAACTTAGCCCTAAGCATATGCAAAGTATATAGGGAAAAGAAAAGAATGCATCTCTTGGAGCCCAAGGCGGAGCCCCACACGGGTGGCATGACGTTTTTGGGCAGAGGCAGAGCCAAGAGCAGCCCCCAGCTCCCCTGGAGCTTAGCCCACACTGCGCTGGCGTGGCTCTCGGAGGAGGCAGCTGGCAGGGCATTATCTTGGGGGGAGGATTCTCTGCTTTGGTCTAAAAGAGGCCGGATTCAACCACCTCTTTGGCAGGCTGCACTGCGCTTCTCTGACCACCCGGCCACAGAAAACTGAAGCGGAGGAAGGAGCGTAAAGATTGTTAACTGAGTGCGAAGGGGAAATTTCCCACTTTTTCTTCATCTTCGTGTTGAGATCCTGATAATGTTACTGAGGTTTAATTATAACAGCATGGGTATTTGATATTTGTATCACAAATTATGCCAAGGATATTTCAAAATGCATGGATAGATGTTCTCTCTATTCTGTACAATGCCAACTATTTGCTATTTATTACTAGCAGTGTGTGATCCATCTTTAAATCACATAATTTCCTTTCAGCTTTCCAGATCTTGCAAATGTGTGCATCTGCTTTAACTTTAAGTATGTGAATAGTTTCACTGAGCTCAACAAGGCAACTTGTGTGCATAAAATTAAAGCACAAAAATTAGCGTTGGCATCTAAATGAGTACAAATTTAAGCCTAAGCAAGCAAAACAAATAACTAACAATTAACAGTCACAGGTAAAATGAAATACCCTGAAAACAAATTGCCACTCATTTACATGACTTCTGTCGAGGACCATAAAGGCTATTGCATATTCTTGTCTGTCTATGAAAAGAGATATTTAGAGACAGCTAATATTTATAAAGGAGTAAATTTATGGTAGAAAAATACTACAGTATTTTTGAGCAAATTAAAAACCTCCCCTCAGTGAATTGTAGAGAAAGTTGGCATCTGGTTCTTCTGAAAATTCTGTCCAAAAAGAACCAAACATATCAAATATCAACACAAACGAAAAAGTATTTGCATTCATGACAATGCTCATGAATAACACGCAATAAAAAATTCCACCAACACAATCAACTCAAAACACTGTTTGGAATTCAAACACATATTCACAAACCACTGCACCCAACACATTCCAGGCAGCAGACTATGCTATGATTTTTCACACAATACCAAAGAAACATACAATTTCCTGGGGAAGAGTTTTGAGCAGAACTTCTAATCTGCAACTGCAAAAAAGTCTGTGGAAATTATTTTTCATGTTTCAAACTGTCTTTGAAAAACCAGTGCAAGTCATTGTATTTGCAACTCCTCCTTGTATACATGAGTTAACATTTGTACATGCAAATAGTATTTTTGGTGGATGCAAACAGATGTGATTCTCATTTTTCTGGGTGCAATTACAGAGAAGTCTGCTGAAAGCCTGACCCTGAAAAAAGCATAAGATCCTTTCCATGTTCAAATTTGAGCCATAAGTCATTGGGTAAACTTAAAACACAGCCTGTCCTTTTATGCATCGTAATTTCTTCAAGCAATGTATTTACATTTTATGTGTTCTGTTGTAGAAGAGGGAGCCTTAATGATTACAATTTGCCATCCAGAACTTTATAGCTAGTCCTTGCAGAAAATAGCATTTCTGCCAAAAAGCTTCCTGCCCAGGTGCTTAACCAATTAGCTCTTAAGAGGTCTGGCAGTAAAACCAGTCATGGCAAGTTTTCTGATATACTGTATATAAGGTGACAGCTTGCAAAATGTAAGATGAAAATTTGTTTTCTTAACTAGCAGTGTGTAAAATCCTGGGAGACTATTTGATTGCATGGCCTAAAATGCTTATGACATCTCAAATTCCCAATTGATCTAGTGTGGTTTTAGCAATATGTTGTCAACTTAAACGTACTGTGTTTCTTTTTATAAATACTTTAAATATAATTTCCTTAATTGTGATTGGGTGCTGCAAATATGTAGGAAGGATAGAGTAACCCCACAAGTTTGAGGTTTGGGGCCCTTCAAATTTTTCCAAACATTTTTGCTAACTCACAAAATATATGCAAGCTTTCAAAAGTGCCTTTTCTCCGCAAATTACACCCACTTTTTATAACTGCATGTTATATTAAAAACATATTTTTCACAAGGGGAGTACTTTGCAATGCAAAGAATAGAAGAAAACCATGGAAGATAAATATACCATAGTAAAACAAATTATTTCTCTGATTCTGGATGCAAGAAGTTTGTATCATGTGGGGATGGCAGTGAAAAGATCAAAACTTACTAGAGATAATCCTTGAAGTGGTAGCTGTGTAACAGCAAAGTGAGCGTGTCAAAGATGATACAGAGAATGTGCAGAAAAGCTTGGTATTGAGCTGGAATATCCAGGCGGACAGTCAATGTGTTTCAGAACTTTCATTTTCAGGAGCGCCAGGCCTGAGAGAAGAGGACCTTTGGCACAGCAGCACGTGGAGCAGATAGCTCCTCGCGGCACTTAGCGCTGCGGAAGGGGATTTATTTCACTGCGCGGACCTTGCATTTTCACAAGGTTTTGATAGCTGAAACTCAGTGTGCATGAGGCTACCACAGTGAGGACCCTGAAGACTGGGATCGTGGGATAGACGAGTGTGCTACATATGAGAACACACCCTCACATACATGTAGGATGTATGCAGGGGTAAGGGTGACGGCACTGCGGCAGGAGGGAGTCCCGCAGCCCACGCTCTTGTTAGGACGCACAGTCCTGTTACCACAGCTCCATAGAAGTCTTCCTGGTGCAATCCCACTGCAAAACCTTCCCAGGACTGCTCTAGCCCTGTGCTGACTGCCCGCCCTCACAGCAGACAGCAACAGTCCCACAACAATCTTCCTCCTGGGTTTGGGGGTGGCTCACAGCATTCTGTAACGTTTTGGCGTTGCAGCACGAGCTGTGTGGTACCCTGGTCTCCCTTAGACATCTGTTAGCAGACTCCGTGAGCCACAAGCCTCAAAGGAAATGCTACAGGCTCTCCAAAAATGGCATTCTAGTCTCCAGTGGGTTTTCATGAAAACTTGCTCCCTGTGGCCTGTGTGGTAGAAGGCAGAGTCTGTCAGTCCATGCGCAGCTGGGTGTCAGGAAGAACCTCTGGCATGGGGTCTGCTCTGACGAAAAGCTGATGTGTGTAACTGTGCTGGTTTTGGCTGGGGAAGAGTTAATTTTCTTCAAGGTAGCTAGTATGGGATGATGGTTTGGATTTGTACTGGAAACAGTGTTGATAATACAGGGTTGTTTTTGTTATTGCTGAGCAGTGCTTACACAGGGTCAAGGCCTTTTTTTGCTTCTCACCCCACCCCACCAGCGAGGAGGCTGGGGGTGCACAAGAATTTGGGAGGAGACACAGCCAGTACAGCTGACCCCAACTGACCAAAGGGATATTCCATACAATATGCTCAGCAATAACACTAGGGGGGAGGTTGGGGGCTGCTGCTTGGGGACTGGCTGGGCACCAGTCAGTTGGTGGTGAGCAATTGTTTTCATTTGCATCACTTGTCTTTCTTGGATTTTATTTCCTTCTCTTTGATATTTCCTTTTTCATTACAATTTTTTTTTAATTTTATTTCAATTATTAATCTGCTTCTATCTCAGCTGAGTTTGCTCACTTTTACCCTTCTGATTCTCTTCCCCCATCCCATGGAAGAGTGAGCGAGCAGCTGTGTGGTAATTAGTTGCTGGCTGGCGTTAAACCACAACAGTAACTAAGGCTTGTGTGAAAACAAGGTTTCCCATTGCACGTGTTATGCTGTGTTTTCCTTTAAAGTTCAAGGTGCTTTATTGTTCCATACTAATCAAATGGTGTCTGATCATTTTGCAGAGGGAAAGTGAAGTACAAAAACACAGTATTAATCCTGATAAACATTTGAATAAGGAGTCAGAAATTCAGATTTCCCAGAAGGCTGAAATGGACACTCTGGAAAACCTCAGGAATTATGGCAGTAGGGCATTTCCCTCTGTCCTAACCCTGGCAATGCCAGATGCTATTCAAGAAGATGAGATTGCAGTTACATTGGAAAACCAAGAAAACTTGCCGGAAGGTACTGGTTCTGAAACATAGTCTTAGCATCTTAGTCTGAAAGGGTACTAGGATATCTGTCTGAGAAAAAAAAAGGAACACGATTCCTGAAAAGGCTATAAAAATATCCTTCCTCTTTGTTTTGAAATTACAAGTATTTTGAGCAATTGTTTCCCAGCCCCAAGTTTGGTGATTGATCTAATGAAAAAATTAGCAGGTGAACACCTGATCCAGTTTATACTCTGCAAGTACTGATTTCAGATAACAGCTCCGTGTCATTGTGCAGGTTAGCTCCTCTATGAGTCTCCCTGGGATGGTACTAGTACTGTTAAGTGACTTCCAAGAATACATGTTTATGAGTAAAAAAAAAGGAAATTATTTACGTTCCCAGGATGAATGTCAGCATGGTGCAGGTGTCAATACTTTGCTTATACTCAAGAAGGGGTTGCACTCACATCTATGGCATCATTTTCCATAGATTCAAAAATATAGAAGATGCACAGTACTGGATAATCAAACTCCAGGTCTGAATTTAGACTTATTTCTGCTTTAGTTATTGCACGCCCACAGCTATTTACCTATGTGGCATGGTTAAATTAATGTGATAAATACCCCCAGAAGCATAAATGAATAATAGTCACTAAAATTAAGCCAGGCAACTTTATGCTGAGATGCTCGTTTATTTATGCTGAGATGCTCATTTAAGACTGTTCACCCAACCAAAAATTGCTGTTTGCCTACCTCCAGATCACCATTTGCTTTAAATCCTTGGTGCAAAATGGCATTCTATGTCAAGATCTACTTTTATTTATGCCATTGCAAGTACTTCCTTTTTTATTATGGGATGAGCTGTTTTGATATTAACATGTTATTTTTCTTGAAAATACCATTCCAGCAGAAGCTGATCTGATTTATGCTATATTCTCTTTAGTTTCCAAGTTTGCAGGCAGAGAGTTGGTCCACCTTGGACCTCCTAAGTCATCAAGCAAAAGTATGCCACATGAGCCCATGTATCAGCCACTTTTGGACTTTCAGAAGAATCTGGATGATTTTGAAGACTTGACTGAAGCTGGAAAACCATGTCTTCATGAGAAATTGCCATCCACACCAGCAAATAACCAACCTCCTTCTTCAAACATCCAAGCAATGACATCTACAAGCAAAGTGCCTCCCCGATCCCTGATGGAAAACATGATTATTACCAGGATTCCTTTGCCTCATCAGGACATGAGATTTAAAGACCTTCTGAAGGCAGTAGATGACAATATTTACATCCCAACACCGTGGCACCTTGATAAAGAGGGCACTGACCTCCTCATGATTGAGTCTTCGCAGCTGTCGCCTTTCCCCAGGCTGCAACAAGCTGCCCTGAGAGAAACCCTAAGTAAAAAGATTTCCTGCCTGGAGGCATCACAGCAACATACAAATATCTGCCCTTTGCTTTTAGTCAACAGTTCAAAACCACCAGCCTTCCCTATGCCCCAACAGCCAACATTTACCATAAGAAGTATGAGGCAGTCTAAAGAAAACCCAACTCATTTTTTCAACAAGAAAACTAAGAAAAACTTTATCCAACTCAGACACACACCTAAAACTACAGATCTAAATCTTCCAGTTTTATCTCCACCATACCAAACTAGGTTGGGGGAAAAAAGGGAGATTTTAAGGTTAAATTTTGCATAAATCAAACACCCACAGAGCATCAGAAGAAAATAGGAAAAAGGGGCAGGAAAGAAACAAAGATGGACAGAAACAGAGAGCAAGAAAAGGAAGGCAGGAGAGACTGATCCAATCTTAAATGAGACATCTCTAAACACAAAGTAGGATGATATGACTTATGCTGTGTATCCTCTGATATCCATCAAACCTCGGGCTACAAATTTTGTGAAGCGCACCAAAGACGCAGAAAAACAGATGCCAATGTAGCAGTACAACATCAAGCATATTTAGGCAAAAAAGGTGGACACTGGACAGAAGATATTATTTTAAATATTTTGTATCAATACCTGTATTGTCCCAAACTTGTGTCACTTATGCATTTCATTCGGGAAATAAACCTGGTCAGGCAATTTTAATTAAGCTGTGAACATAATGCAGAAGGTAAACAAACAGTAACAATGATGGAATAATCACTTTTTGAGGGATTGTTATAATAAACAAAATAGTCATGGCACTGATGTTTTCTTTATTTATTTGTTAGTTTTAACTGTGTGTATTCTAATTAATGGAGACCATGCAACCTAACTCCCCTGAAAGGAGCAAATCAACATATTTTTCTTGTAAATTTAACAGCTTAATTAGGACTGCCTATTTGTAACTGTGTGCCTTTGCAATGTTTGTCTCTTACTATTGAAAACATGCATTTGCTTTCAGTTTCAATGATTTATGCTTCTTAGCTAGATTTTCATAGTACTAAGCTTTGAGCCTGATTCTGTCTTCAGACCAGTTTTATATCAGTTAAAATCCCTTAACTTCAACAGATTTGAACTTAATTGACTCTAACAGAGGTGAGAGTCTTCATATTTGCTGCTCCATAAACTCACACATAGTAGTAAAAGAGGCGCAAAGGGTTTCTAAGTAATAGTAGATAGATATACAAAGAACAGCAGGAAGAAAAAGCCGCAGCAGAAGGCATCATGCTAAAACCAAGCCTTATACCTGACAAGCACCATGGTAAGCATTTGGTTACACTGAGCAGGACCAAACCTGAAGTCCCATTTTACCCTGCCTCGCCTTACCCCACCACGCTGGGACCACATCCATGGGGTGAGTTCTTCACGGTCTACGCAGCTCCTGCACAAGCATGCCATGCCGCCTCGGTGGCGGCAGCTTTTGCACACCCGCAGGGGTGCCGCACCATCTCCTCGGCTGGGCTGAAACAGCTATTGAGTAGTCCTGCTCCCAGCCAGCCCCAAAACAACCTCTAAATGATAAGAGATGTTTTTAACTCAGAACATCTTTGCTGACCAGGTGTGGTGGGTTGACCTTGGCTAGATGCCAGGTGCCCACCAAAGCCGCTCTATCACTCCTCAGTTGGACAGGGGTGAGAAAATATAACAAGAAGCTTGTGGGTTGAGATAAGGACAGGGAGAGATCAGTCACCAATTACTGTCATGGGCAAAACAGACTCGACTTGGGGAACTTAATTTAATTTATTATGAATCAAATCAGTGTAGAGATAATGAGAACTCAAACCAAATCTTAAAACACCTTCCCCCCACCCTTCCCTTCTTCCTGGGCTCAATTTCACTCCTGATTTGTCTACCTCCTCCCCCTTGACCAGCGCAGGGGGATGGGGAATGGGGGTTGTGCTCAGTCCATCACACGCTGTCTCTGCCACTCCTTCCTCCTCAGGGCAGGACTCCTCACACTCTGCCCCTGCTTCAGCGTGGGGTCCCTCCCACGGGAGACTGTCCTCCACAAACTTCTCCAACGTGAGAGGAACATGAGGTGCCACTTGGGATTGCAGCTGAGCTAGGTGGAAAGTCTAGTGCCTCTGCCTATTGCTTTTCTTCAAAACTTAAAGTCTCCTCAGAGCATAACAGCACATAGAGTCACTCCAAAATCTAGTTGGTCAGAATCATAGAATCATAGAATAATTTGAGCTGGAAGGGACATTTAAAGGTCATCTGGTCCAACCCCACCCCCACCTGCCCCCGCAATGAATAGGGACATCTTCAACTAGATCAGGTTGCTCAGAGCCCTGTCCAACCTGCCGACCTTGAGTGTTTCCAGGGATGGGGCATCTACCACCTCTCTAGGCAACCTGTGCCAGCGTTTCACCACCCTCATTCTGAAAAATGTCTTCCTTATATCTAGTCAAAATCTACCCTGTTTTAGTTTAAAACCATTACCCCTTGTCCTATCACTACAGCACCTGCTAAAAACTCTGTCCCCATCTATCTTATGAGTCCCCTTTCCAGCCCCCTGGAAGGCTCCAATAAGGTCCCCTTGGAGCCTTCTCTTCTCCAGGCTGAACAATCCCAACTCTCTCAGCCTGTCCTCACAGAAGAGGTGTTCCATCCCTCTGAGCATTTTGGTGGCCCTCCTCTGGACCCACTCCAACAGGTCCATGTCTTTCCTGTGCTGAGGGCTCCAGAGCTGGATGCAGGGCTCCAGGTTGGGTCTCACCTGAGCAGAGTAGAGGGGCAGAATCAACTCCCTCCCTGCTGGCCACACTGCTTCTGATGCAGCCCCAGATATGGTTGGCCCGGCTCATAGAATCCTAGAATCATAGAATCTTTGGTCTGGAAGGTACCTTTAGAGGTCTTCTTGTCCAACCCCACTGCAGTGAACAGTGACATCTTCAGGCAGGTCAGGTTGCTCAGAGCCCCATGTCCAGCTTTTCATCCACCAGTACCCTCATGTCCTTCTCAGCAGGGCTGCTCTCAATCCCTTCACCCCCCAGACAGTACTGGTACCTGGGGTTGCCCTGACCCAGGTGCAGCACCCTGCACTTGACCTTGTTGAACCTCATGAGGTTCACGTGGGCCCATGCCTTGGGCTTGTCCAGGTCCCTCTGGATGGCATCCCATCCCTCCAGCATGTCAACTGCAACACTCAGCTTGGTGTCATCTGCAAACTTGCTGAGGATGCACTCAATCCCACTGTCTATGTCACTGATGACATTGATTGACCGCTACCCTCTGGATGCAACCATCCAACCAGTTCTTCATTCACTGAACAGTCCACTCATCAAATCCATATCTCTCTAATTTAGGAGAATTTTATCTTACAGAAGTCCAGATAGACAACATTGGTAGCTCTTCCCTTGACCATTGATGTTGTCATTCCATTATAGAAGGCCACTAGGTTAACCAGGCAGGCATTGATTGACCGCTACCCTCTGGATGCAACCATCCAACCAGTTCTTCATTCACTGAACAGTCCACTCATCAAATCCATATCTCTCTAATTTAGGAGAATTTTATCTTACAGAAGTCCAGATAGACAACATTGGTAGCTCTTCCCTTGACCATTGATGTTGTCATTCCATTATAGAAGGCCACTAGGTTAACCAGGCAGGATTTGCCCTTGGTGAAGCCATGCTGGCTGTCTTGAATCACCGCCCTGCCCTCCATGTGCCTTAGCATAGCTTCTAGGAGGATCTGCTCCATGGTCTTCCCAGGCACAGAGGTGAGGATGAGCCTTTTTAAAAGTGGGTGCAATGTTTCCCTTTTTCTAGTCTCCAGGGACTTCACCTGATGTGGTCAGGAAGCAGAGACACGTGGCACCTATACCACTCCGCTCAGAAGGGAAGGAAGGATCACTGATCTCTGGACAGGGGCAGGTGTCAAGGAAGCTCAAACTCAGCAGTTTCCCTTATGCACACCCAAGCTAATGAGCAGTGCAGGGAACATTTGCTGTTCTTACAATTCTGGCACCAAGCAATTCAGAAGATAGAGGGAACTGAGTGCTTTCCAGATAATATTTTTCTTGTAAAATCTGATTTTCTTAGATTTTAGAAAATGGTTATGTCTTGAGAATATTTTTAGCTTTGATTCACCTTTACAAAACACTTTTTGTTTTGAACATATAGTTTGAAACAAATGGTTTAAGCTGTAAATTGACATTTCAATTTACTGTTTCCTTTCACAATACTGAAATGTTTCATTCTGACTATAAATGTCTAAAAGCTTTTTCCTCCACAGAATTTTTTTCCAAGAAAAATTTATTTCCTTGACACTTCTTAATATTTTGTCTTTATACTCTAATTGCAGATGACAATAACATCAAAATGTTTTAACTTTATTCATTGAGTCGAAACTCCATTTTCCAAACAGCTCTACCACCATTTTGAGCTCCTCCACGAGCTGCTGGAGAGAGGAGAGCAAGAGGAGCTTATGCTTCTCCTTTACCAGCTCAGTGCAGGTGTGTCTATGTAGGTGCCAAGCAGATGACAGCCACAGGAGGATACCTGTTCCCCACTGAAACAAAGTCCAGAAAGATCAGTGTTAAGTGACTGTGCCCCATGACCCAAGTGCCAAAGAGGCAGCTCTTTCTGGAGGAGTTCCGAATTGTGATGCCTTCATCCTCCCATGGCCTCAGCTGCCTCCAGCTCAGCCTCTGCTCCGGCTGCAGCAGAGAATGGAGGTTTCCAAGGGGTGAGACACTTATCGGCAGTCGGAGAAAACATCAATTCTTTCCAGGGTCCCCACCACCTGCCTATTCTTTCCATCTTCAAGGCAATATGGTTTCTTATTTCTAGGAGCGGTTTACTAAAAAGCAAGGGAACATCCCTCCTTCTGCCCTGTCTGGCCTTTTAAAGATCACAGTGGTGAAATAAATGCTTCTTCAACATGCCACAGCTAAGTATTGCCTTATAGTCGTGTAGAGAAAAAAGAGGTTTTCTACCTTCGCTTCCCATACACATACACACTTGAG